TAATTCCAGATGCATACTCTGTAGTGGTGAAGCAGGGAAAGCCATGGCAACAGGGTTCCTATTAGGAATGACCCTGCGTTTCAAAAGTGTCTGTCAAAAGTGCTGAGAAACTCAGAATGGAGGATCCTGTGGCATCAGGGAACCATGAGGTGACTGACATGAGTGGGGAAGACTGGGGTTTCCCAGTCCAGCCCCAGATTGCCCAGAAAAGCTCCTTAGTGCCAAAATCAGCCAGTAAAGAAGTAGCTGCCTGAATAAGGGCAAAAGCCTTGCATTCCCAAAAAGCCTCTAAGGCTGAGGAAGGGGATGTGGAGGTGTCAAAAGGCCCTGAAGAAAGAAATCTCCAAAGCTGAGAGAGAAGCTGAGCAACTGAGACAAACAAATTCCTCTGGGGCAGGACCTGTTATTCCCTGCTCTTTGCAGGCTGAATTGTTAGTTCATGTGAATCCTGCCCTCAGGATATTCTGAGCTTCCAGGCTTGGTCACCAGATGGCACCAGAGAGCAATCTTCTCAGCTACCATTTACAGCAGACAGCAATGAGGATTATTTTGCTCCACTGTCAAACCTGCTACCAGAAGAGAGACATTGGGAGCCTACCTTAAAAAAGAAGAATCCTACTTCCAGTTTGAGCTTCTTCAGCAATGGACTGAAATCCGTGATTGTGCACAGTTTTGATCTGTGCTCACCACCAGAGTGCCCCAAGCCGCCTGGATTTGGGGCAAAAGCCACCCTGTACAGGTGGTGAAGAGTGGGGAGACTGCCAGCAGGGTCGAGGAGAGCTGCATCTCTCCTCCCCAGCTGGCCATTACTCCCTTTCCCGAAGGCGGTTGCAATGGTGGTCAGAAATGGCCACCTCAAAGAAGAACTTGACTGGAAAAGATTGTGCAGGAGGAAGATAAAAAGAGCAAGTTTTGACTGACTAGGTTGAACTGAAAAAGCAACAACATAAGGTACCCTAGAATTTGAATTACAAAGAATAACTTGTTCCCAAAGAAGATTTTTGAAGTGGCGAAGGAGAGAGGGAAGGGGAAAGATTTGGTCTTTTTTTTCTTTCCTTCCCCATATTGACAGCTAAGAGACTTAATTAAGAAATTGATAAAAATTCATTTTGACATTAATAGGCATTTAAGCTGAAGATAAAATGTCAAAGGGATAATAAAGATTTTTGGATATTTAAAAACTTTTAAAAGAAGGAAAGAAGAGAAAAAGAAAAAATAAAAGGGTGGGATCTGGAAAAATGGAGGAGACCATCTGGAAGTAAAAGGAATTAACAGTGAAACTTTAACAAGATTCCTAAAAGATATATTCTAACTGAAACTTTGTAACAAGTTAAATAGAACCCCAGGAAGAGAAAGTGGAAAAAAGAAGCAGGAAGAAACAGCTTTGGATTATTTGGATCATTTGGTGATTTTTGGATTTTTGGTTATTGGATTTAAATGACTAAAATCAACCAGGTGGTTGTTTAAAAGTGTTTAAAATGGCATCACTCTTGGAAGAACTGAAAATGGAACTAAAGAAACAGAAAGAAGATGCACAAGAAGGAAGAGGGTTTTTTGGCTTCATATTTCAATTTTTAGAAATGGAGATCTTGAACTATGAGAAACAACAAGAAATGCTTCCAGAACAAGAAGGGTGGGACAAAGAAGAAGCCATTTTTAATGATCAAGTAATTCTATGTGGGGAAAAACAAGGAAAGGGGAGAAAGAGAGTGAAAAATTTAAGATCTGAAAAAACAACAACAACAAAAAGAATAGTTTGAAAAGCAATTACAATATTAGGAAGAAACAGAAGAGAGGATTGCAGGAGAGAAAATTAGTATTAGAGAGACAAGGGATCAAAAAAGGGAGGGAGAAGAAGAGGGGGAAGAAGGAAAGGAAAAGAAATTATAAAGGACAGAAACAGGATATAGAGATACAGGGAAAACGTACAAGGATTAAAGGTATAAGCCCATTTAGAAGACATAGAGAAAATGGGTGAAAATTTAATTGAAAGAGAGGATTCTGCAAGGGTACATAAGAAAGCATTTTTATATTAGAAATAGAAATGAACTCAGAAAATATGAAACAAGTGTGATTAAAATGATAGATAAAATACTTATTGTAATGGAATAGAATGTTTGTTAATAAATGAAATAAAGAGAATGAGAGAATGAAATTAGGAAAGGATGGGAACATTCTAATTGTTATCAATGATTTATAAAAATTTAAGTGAAGAGAAATATGAAAGAAATATGAAAAAAATTATAGAAATATTATAAGTGTTCCTAAGGAAGCATGATATTTAATTGAAAAGAAATGTTAAAGAGGTTAATTAATATTAAGAGAAGATTGTAATTAACATTAATGGTTGAGCTGAATTGGAATAGAATAAGTGATTTATATACTATTGTTATATACATATTTTCTCTTTAAGAACTTAGTGTGTATTTTAAGAATGTACCAAGCAGAATTCGATTGGCAAAAGTTATGTGTTATAAAATAGAGGTTAGATATTGAATGTTATAATTGTAAAGGCATAAATTGAAGTTTAAATAAGAGTTGAATGGACAAAAATAAAAAAAATACAATGGTGTCATACTCCAATCAGTAACTACAGGGGAAAACTTGTTTAATGAGAAAAGAAAATAAGAAATTGAAACAGGACAGACAAAAATATAAATAGAATGATTTGAAAAATATTGAAACTTAGAAAAAGATATATAATTGAATTTAGAAAGGAATGAGATACTTAAAAACAAGGTTGAGAAAACTAAGGGAAGGGGAAAATCACTGAGAAAATGCTAAAATAGTAATAAGATATGGAATAGAATACAAAGATGAATATGAAATTGAGTTTGTGTCTGTATGGAGAAGTGATAACCCGGGATCATGCTATTCTCAAAAAAAAATATTCATATTGTTTTGTGAACCCCCCCCCCCAAAAAAAAATCTTACACACAAAAAAAGAGAGAAATCCTGCTCCAGAGGCCACTTTTATACTCAGAGCAGCAGGGCTCTGCCGAAGGGAGAGCCAAGGGCCTGAAATTTCTGACCAAATGAGACTTCTGATTTCAGAGACCATAGTGCAGGAGATTGCTGCAGGCTTGCAAGCAAGGCTGTCAGACTGCTTCTGTGGCATCTGACACCTCTCTTCAGCAAGGCAAACACCTGGCAGCCCAGGTTCAAAGAGGCTTGGCAGTCTTTCAGGGACCTCACTCACCCACTTTATCATACAGAGCAGGGGATCACTCTCAGGGGACAAGGACCAGAAAGAATTGATACTTTTAGAGGATGAAGGGGTGATCCCTGATCCCCTGGCCTTCACAGGGCTCTTTTGCCTGGCCCTCTTTAAATCTCCCCTAAAAAAGGCCAAAACCACAGCTCAATTGGGAGCTGATCCGAATACATCAGAGTCAGCATTGGGCCTACCAGACCCAAGTGAGCTGCTCTTTTCAGAGCCAACCATGGAGAGTGAAGAGATTCCCTCACCCAAATTATTCCTGGATGTGGTCCAGTGGCAATGGACCCAACTAGGAACAACCCACCCCAAGACAAAAAATTTTATAACGTGGCCCCAGACCTCGCTGAGGTGCTACAACTGCCAACAGTAGATGGGTCTGTGGTGGCCTTTGCATCCTCCATCATCCTGTCTAATGACATGACGGATGCCCTGAAGACAGAGGATAGAAAGGCAGAACTGACCCTCCACAAGGCACATCAGGCAGCAGCCTGGGCAGTCAAGGCAGCAACGGCCACCTCCTTTTTCAATAGAGACTCTTTGCTCTGGCTTCTCCAGATGCAAGCTAGAGTGTCAGCCTCTATAATGTTTTCATGAGGCCTCATGCTGTTTGCTTACTGTCGGCTGCCATAGAAATGTGGGGAGGAGAAGTTTGGTATTTGGGAGGGGAAGTTTGCTGGAGAGTGGAGATATCTTCTGTGTGAACCGAGGGGGGTGGGGAATGCTTTCCTGCTTACTGCACAACTGCATGGACTTATCTCTGCCCAGCCAAGTTCAACTGTCTCGGCATGCCAGATGAGGGAAAACCCACCTGAAGATGTACCCCACATGACACTATAAGCACTGCAGATTGGATGTCTAGTCTGGACCCTTGGGGGAGGGAACTTGGGATAACTTTCAATATGTAATTTTCATGCCTATTGTCTCAGATCTTGTTTTTCTTTTGTTGCCATCACTTCAAACTCAGTAAAGGGCTGGCGATGGTTGGGGTGATGTGTGCAAGGCAGCCTTGTCCTGCATGGGCAGGATTAATGGCTTCAGCGGGCCGTATCTAGCCTGCAGGCCTTACTTTGAGGACCTCTGCACTATCTAATCTATTAGCATAACTGACATAACAATGGGCAATTTTTTTCTAATATTCTATCTTTCTACTCACCTATTTTTACATTTTTCATAATGGAGGCTTCAATCAAAGTCAACAGAAAAGACAGACAAAATCAAGAACAGCACAGTTGGTTATCTTGAATGAACAGGGCTGATTTCATGTCCTGGCCCCTCTGGCATGTGATTTGAATGCCAAGGGACCATACATTTCCATGGCCAATCCCTTTGCACGCAAAAATATCCAGATTCAGTTCTGGCCCTGACATTTAGAATCAAGTAGATTAGCAAGCAAAAGAGTTTTTTGCCTGAGACAATGCAGAGCTTCTGCTTAATTAAGTCATGATTAAAATAAAGAGTAGTTTCTTACAATATATAAACCCAACCGAATGTTTTATGGAAGACTGCACAATAAGCTATGGATCTTACTGTTGACCTTGGAGATTAGTTTGAAAACTGCTGCTCTAATTTAGAGAGGTTTAAAATTAAAATTACTGCAAGCATTGATTCTTCTTCAGTCTAACTAGGGATTAGATTGAAGAAAAACCAATACTTTCAAGTAATCAATTCAGCTGAAAATAGCAAGAGGACACGAAACTATAGCCAGTAGCCTAGGCACATTTGTCAAGTTTCCTTTCTATTGCCAACTGCACTCAAGACTCCCTTTGGAAACATGACTCACCTAATGAAGTAACAGCAGAAAATAAGGCTGAGTACAAAGATGAAGACACCTGTGCCAAAAATCACCATATAGATGTTCAGTGGCAAGTCCTGGAAAGTTATGGGAGGCATGGTGCACGTTTTGTTGCTGTAGATCAGTCCCAGACCACAGAAGCATCCTAGAAATGAGAAAGAGAAGGGGGTAAAGTTGTATTTGTATCTAATGCTGAACCTAGATCTACTCTAACCATAATTGGTTGAACATGCCTTTAACAAGCTAGGCTCAATCTTGTGGATGAACAAAGTTCTCAGAGCCTGTTGAACTAATTTTAGAATTGATATATCGTATTATCTATTTATCATCTGTCTATCTAGATATTGCTTGGAACATATCAGAAAAAAATGAAAATTATGTTGATGCTACATCTAATATCCATGCATAACATTCTTATATAGCCACTGGGAACTCAACACTACTACAAGGCTCATTGGCACCAATACAGATTGAGAGAAACCATGTAAACCATGATCCTTTAGAGCACTGTTGATCTCTAAATTGTGGGAAAATTGAATAGGTGGTGACCAACACATATTAGATGATAACTTTCTTTTGGTCCTAAGTCAAGTCAGAAAAGGTGCCTCAGGAAGAGGAGATCAAAGAGGTAGCACAATAAGCCTTCTCTTGGCAGTGCCCAGAAAATCTGCTTGTGCTAATTCATTAAAAAACTAAGGAATGAATTTTGTGAAATTGTGGCAGCCATTGATTATGCAACTTCTAAAGCAGAGATGTGGAGTCTATGGCTATCTGGCTGTAGAACTCCCCATATCTCCCATCACTAATCATTTTCACAGATGCTACTGGCAATGGTAATCCATCCACAACTGCTTGCAACCAAGCTTGCAGTTATAATGTTAAGCAGAGTTGGATGTACATTTATTTTCATACATTTATCTAAATAGTCCGATGGTGCTCAAGGTATTATGACATTTAAAATGGCAAAGAAAAAGATAGCTGGAAGACAGCATGAGTACCAAACAAAGCATCCCTTCCTCAAGGAGCTGAGTAGCAAAACTGTGCAACGTACGATATATGTTGGTAGTTTATATCTTCTAACCTAGATGGCTATGCCTTGAAGAGAACTCCAGTATTGGAGAACATCAAGTAAAATAGTAACATAGTATTTTCCTCAGCAACAACTTAACCATGACAGGCAATTCCCCTTAAAGGCTCAGAAGACCTCTTGTTACAGCCAATCTGGATATGTTGGTTTAAAATCTCATCCTCACCAACTAATACATTAGGAGGCCATGGCAATTAGACTTCCATGGTTGGAAGCAACTATAGAAACCACTGAAGTCAACTACCCCCAGCCTAAAGTATGAAGCAATGAAAGCCCAGTCAAATGAACTATTTTAAAGAAATGGTACAGAAATAGAAATGGTTGATTTCATGCGTAACACAGATAATATAGAAGCAGTAAGAGGAAGACTGTCTTAAAAGCCCTACAAACACAATTTAAAACATCAATATCGGGTTCCAGGCAGAAACCTATAAGTAAGGTATGAAATGAATTCAGAGAGATTTCATCCTGAAGCAGAGATAATTAAATGCTAGCCACCAAGCAACAGACGGAGAGTAGAAAAGGTGATTTTTCAGGATGAATGCACTGTTTTAATTATCCAAACAACAAGCATAAGTACACATAGCACTTGACCTTTGCTTTCCCCAAAGAGGGTGGAAGTGGCAGTAATAAGGCAGGAATTTTAAAAGCAAGGAACTGGTGTACTTCAAGAGGTGCTGAGTGCAGGAATGCTCTGAGCCCCAAAGCAAGAGGGGAAGATGGGGGTCTCCTTTAATAAAAGACCTTATTTTGCAGAAAACAGTGAAGCTTCCTTGTCTTTTCCAAAACACTTTCCCTTGGATGAACTTCTACATTCTTGCTGCCTCCTCAGTGGTGCTAGGGAATCACTTTGGTAGCAAAAGCCAATTTGCAGGCTGATAAAATGAAATGAAAACAGGAGTGAGCAGCTCGCTTTCTCCCAACCATTGCAAAAGTTTGCCAGGATGATGAGTCTCAAAAGTTCGAATCAGTTCTGACATCTCTCTGGCCTTAATCCTGTCCTGTATCCCACTAGTGGTAGGTTTCCATAACCACTAGGTAGAACAACTCTTGTGAAACTATGGCCACCATCTATGACAACAGCATTCCTGGAGTTCATTTCCTCTCTAATCAAAATATATGTTTTTATTTTACTTTTCTTTATTAAAATTATATGACAGGTCCCCAACTCCAGGAAGTAAATTGAAAATCAAAATGCTTCAAGGAGGGCATGATTTGCTCAAGTCACTTGAAAGGTGCTATTGACTTTGGCTCAAATAGGAAGCTGTTTTAAAAAACCTTTGTAGAATAAAAAAGTTTTATTTATCTCCTAGTACTTCTTGACAGTTTCTTTAGCTCTAACAATTGTGTTTTAGCTTGACTGGCCCATGTGCTATTTGCTGCTTCTGAAGTTCTGGAAAGGTGGGAAATGGGGTGTTAGTCTTACCTGTCATGCTCCTTCTCAGTGTGCTGATAGAGAATCCAAGGAATGGGCTAACTCTGCCTTCCTGCTCATTAGACTGAATCAATCAAGTCTTTGTAGTCCTGCCTCTCGTGTCTACTTTCCTAATTTTTGAAGAGGGCATGATGATTGACTTGAACATGATGCTAGACTTGACCATCCCTAGACTCTGGCCAGAGAGCTGCCAGGGTGGTGTTGGATTCTCTCTCAGCACACTGAGGAGTGGGTCAGGTAAGACCAATGCTCCTTCTCCAAGTGTGCTGAGGAAAATCCAAGGAATGCAACATACTGGCATGTCCTAAGGGTAGGTAGCAATCTGGTCCAGAGTCCCCGAGTTTGTGTACATCTTCTGGAGAACTCATTTACCAAAAGCTGCTTCAGTGAAAGTGAAGGTATCCAGCTTATAATGCCATATAAATGGGGATGGAGAAGACCATGTTGCTGCTCTGCATATCTTCTCAATAGAGGCCTGAGTGGCCCACGCAGCTGTGGTGGCTGCACTTCTAGTGGTGTGAGCTGTCACTCACTGAGGCAATAGAAGAGCCTGAAGTTCATATTATTTGGCAATGCATGCTTGTATCCACTGGCCTATTGTTGATACTGTGCCTTTATTACCCAACGTGGAGGGTTGAAATGACATGAACAGGGACTCCAATCTGGAAGGAAGCTATACTCTTGATATAGATGTGGTAAAATCAGTTCCTGTGTCCTATGAAATAAAGAATTGATCTTGGGCAGGAACGAAGGGTCCAAGTACAGAACAACTCTGTTGGGATGGAAAATGCATAGATCCTTCCTGATTGAGAGGGTTGATAACTTGGGGATGCATCTCGCTGAGATGATAGTTATGAGAAAGGAGACTTTGCAGGTGAAGAAATGAAGGCTGGTGAAGCGCAAAGGTTCAAAGAGTGTAGAAGAGAGTCTGGAGGACCATAGCTGGGATATCGGTGTACTGTTGGAGGCTTTAAGTTAGTCATGCCTCTGATAAAGCTGTGCACAATAGGGTGCTGTGCAAGGGACTCCAGATCCTCACAAGATAACACAGACAACAGGTGGCCACTTGTCCGCATATTGTATTGGGCGATAGGCCCTTGTCTAGCCCAGGATTTGGGCCACCGATACTTAGAGGGGATCAATAGAGGTTTTGGAGCACTAGGCACAGAAGGATTTCCAAGTGGAATCATAAATCCTATTGGTCAATGGCCTCCTAGAGGCTTGAATGGTATCACATGGCCAGAGAAGTTGTCCAGCCTCAGAGCTCTCTGCTCAAATGCCAAACAGTCAGCTGGAGCCATTGTGGGTCTGGGTGGAGGGCAACTCCCTGACTGAAGGAGATTTTGTCTGGTAGGATAGCTGGCTGTTTGACAGGGTGACAAACAGGTCCAGGATTGGAGAGCCAAACCTTTTGGACAGTGTCCTGAACAGGTCAGGGTGCAGGCACCATTCTGCATGATCGACTGTGGCCCGGCTAAGCCAGTCCGCCCAATATATGCTCTGCTCACAGGGATAGAAGATGCCATTCCATCCAGTAAAATAACTAACCAGAAATGTGGCTGGAGTGGATGCTCACTGGAAGATAAGGCCCACAATGAGAGGCTGGATGAAGGGCTTAATCCCACCACTCCACAGGCCAGATACTTTGCATTGATGGGCCATATCCATCCCGCGGGTCATAGTTTGAGGATCAGTGATCTAGATCAACAAAGCCAAAGGCCCAGCACCTGTGGCAGATACTTGACTAGGGAATGTCTGTTTAAAGAGCATCTCCTAAACCAAGTTGGAAGATGACTATAGAGGAACCAGAAGTATTTCCAGACAACTGCTTTGGTTTGTTTTGAAGTTACACCTGTTCTCTTAAGATGAATAACCAAATAATCTTAGGAAACTGCACAAGGAAGGAAACATTGTCACTTCTCTAATAGGCCACTTCAGTAAAAGATGATTAAGGATGTTATCTAGGGGGTGACATAGATAAGTTCAAGTGTTGCAATATGTTCTACACAGAGGTGGTATTCAGCAGGTTCTGACCAGTTCTGGAGAACAGGTAGCAGAAATTTGGAGTAGTTTGGAGAACTGGCAAATGCCACCTCTGACTGGCCCCACCCCCATCCATTCTCTGCCTCCCGAGTCCCAGCTGATTGGCTGGGTTTTCTTTTGTTGCCCTGCACAGGAGAACAGAGCTGGAAAGCAGGCTAGTGGGGTAAGTAAGGAATGGGATTTTGCAGTAAGCTTCCCCTAGGAGTGGGGAGGGAATGGAGATTTTACAGTATCCTTCCCCTACCACGCCCACTATGCCATGCCCACCAAGCCACACCCACTGAACCAGTAGTAAATGTTTTGGAATCCCACCACTGGTTCTACAGCAAATCGTCAGAAACAGCATGGTACAGAATTCAAATCCATTACCCCGTATTAAGGACATTTTTTTCCAACTGCTGTAGAATTTGAAAGATACACAGGAGTTTTTCTCAATGGTAGCAGTTTGAAGGTGCATGCATGACAATTCCTAGAGTCCCATAGCAAGTTGAATTCTGGGAACAGAAGTCCACACATCTTAAAGTTGCCAAGGTTGAGAAACACTGACACTTAGACTAAAAATAGTTATTATATTCCATAA